GATGGGTGTTCACCACAACAGGTAATTGCATGACTTGTGTCAATGATTAGTACACAATCAACCCATCAAACCCAAAACAGTGTCAAAGCTGTTCTTCTTTTGATTCGAATTGTCTAAGTTGTTCGAGAACTGAAAGAAAGTGTCTTTTGTGTCAAAGTGGAGTTTCGTATTTATCGAATGGAGTGTGTGCGTTGTGTGACTCAACGTGTTCAACATGTGGAACAGATGGTATTTGCACACGATGTAAATCCAATTACGTCTTTTATGAACCAAAACAAATTGGATGTTTGAGTTGTACTTCATTTGACACAAATTGTGCGTCTTGCAGTTTGTCAAGTTCCAGAAATTGCACCACATGCAAATCAATAATGTATCCCGATGTTTCAAATGGAAAATGTAAAAGCTGTGATGCTTCATGTGGTGGGAGTTGTGACACAACAAATGGAATTTGCACAAATTGTGTTTCTGGAAAAGTTTTCAATGATCCAAAAGGATTAACATGTATTGACTGTTCTACATTCGATGTCAACTGTGTTGCATGTGCCTCAAATGGAGAAAGAAAGTGTATCGCGTGTTGTGAGAACAGTGGGTTTTATTTGTTCAATGGAAGGTGTGTGGTGTGTGACTCAACTTGTAAAGCAAATACATGTGACTCGACAAGTGGATATTGCTCGCAGTGTTTGTTGAATTACACAGTGACTTCTCCAATATCGAAAGTCTGTGTGAAGTGTTTTGAATTTGATTCATACTGCTCGAAATGTGCAACTGACTTCACCAGAAAGTGTGAGTTGTGTTCGAATGGTAAATACCCAAAATCCACAGAAGGCTATAAATGTGTCAGAGTTGTGACTCGACGTGTGGTAGTCAATGTAGTGGTTCAACTGGATTTTGTACAGGGTGTCTGTCAAATTACGTGTTTTCCACAACAAACAGTTTGGTGTGTGACAAATGCTCAACATATGATGCAAATTGTCTGACGTGTGATTCGTCATACCAACGACAGTGTGTGACATGCAAGACAAGTGGGATGTACCCCGATGAATCAACTAAGAAATGCAAATTGTGCAGTACAACATGCAATGGCAATTGTGATCAAACCAGTGGTATCTGCACTGCCTGTATGACTAATTACGTGTTTGAAAATACAAAGAGTAAAGTGTGTGTCACTTGCAAAACATTTGACAGCAACTGCAAAACATGCAAATCAGACTACACGCGAAAATGTGTTGATTGTGAAAATGGGTATTATCCCAACGACTCTGGAATGTGTGTGCCTTGCAGCACGATTGATACAAATTGCAAAACGTGCAATTCAAGAATAAAAGAGTGTTTGACATGTAACGACCCGTATTACTTATCCAGTCAGAAGTGTGTGAGTTGTCCTTCTGGCAGTTACAAAAACACTGAAACATCATGTGGACAGTGTTGCAATGATCTGCCCAATTGCCAAACATGTTCAACGCAATCTGTTGGTGTTCCTGTGTGTTTGTTGTGCTATTCTCCGTATGTCTTGGCTTCTCAAACAAAAACGTGTGTGAGCTGCACATCTTCCCAAATATACAACAAAACAACACAAAAGTGCGACAGCAATGCTATTGGCTGTTTGACAGGATTGACCGATCAGCAGTGTTTGCGATGTGATGGGTCGTATTACCTTTCTGAATACAAATGTGTTGCAACAAACAACTGTAACACCCATCAACAGTATCAAAGGTATCATGTGACTGTGCACACCAGATATCAGTCAACTCGGATTGCAAGACCAAAGCCTCAAATTGCAAATATCAAAGAAATTACAAAACCCAAAGTGAGTGTATTCACTGTGATGACAATTATTTACTCAATGGAGCGACTTGTCAGAAGGTAGCAAGTGGTAATACAATCAGAAACGATGTTGTCTATAAATGTGTCAATGACAATTATCTTGGATATAACAACCAATGCAACATGTGCAATAAAAACGCTTCTGTATGTGTTAATTACAACAATGTCATTGAAATCATCGCATGCAAAGAACAACATACATATGACGTGGAAAACAAGAAGTGTGTCAACGACATTTCTTGTTCAAAATATTCAAACGACTTCTGTTCAAAATGTGTTGATGATAATATGGAAATGCACGATGGTAAGTGTGTAACTTGTTCTGTTCCAAATTGTAAATATTGTGAGGGTGGCAAATGTAAAAAGTGTACAGAGAATTATGTGATACAAACAAATGGATTTTGTGTTGAAAAGAGTGAAGTGAGTTGTGTCAATAGTGATGGTCTGCGTTGTTTACAGTGCACTGAAAATTTCTATTCAATTGACTCAATTAACAAAGAAGGGAACTATCACTTCTGTTTGCCACTTTCTTTGGCGCAAATAGAAGACTGTAAATATTCGATTATATCTAAATCGAAGTGTATTGAGTGTTTGGACTCGTTCAAATTGAAGAATGGGAATTGTTCTGAACAATTTGATGAAAATGAACAAGAAACCAATTCAACTAACATCAAACAAGACTTGAAAGGTGCAGAGGTATCATGTTTCATAAGAAACAATAAAGGGTGTGAAAGATGCAACAAAGGGTATTACTATAACAACTGTGATGGTGAGTGTCTTCTTTGTTCGACAAATTGCAAAGAATGTTACAACACAACTTACTGTACTTCATGCCAACCTGGGTATTACCTTTCCTCTACTTTTACATGTGAACCACTTGGCGACCTGTTTACAAAATGTGACTTAACACTTCCAACAGGTGGTGGATGTGCTATTTGCAAAGACCACTATTACAAACAAAAAACTGATTGTATTTCTTGTGATGAATCATGTGGTACATGTGTAGAGGGTGATTCATGTTTAACATGCAAAGAGGAATACTACAAACTCTCTGGTAGAGAAAATAAATTGTGTGTATCATACGACAATTTGACTAATTGTGATACAAAAACGCCAATTGGATGCGTAAAGTGTAATTCTGGTTATTACTTAGAGAATTACCAATGCAAGAATTGTTCAGAAAACTGCATTTCGTGTGACAACGCACTAAGTTGCAAAGTGTGTGTAGAAAAGGATTATGTTTTATTCAATTCAAAGTGTTTGTATTTCAAGGAAATTGATTATTGTAAATCTGCTAACAACTCGAAATGTATTGAATGTGAAGGGTATCACAAACCAAGTGACATAGGTGATAACTGTAACAAAGTGACTAATTATGGTTTAGTCGTTGGACTACCGATTTCAGTCACATTAGTAGTTATCATTTTAATTGTTGTGATAATAATAGTTGTAATTCTTTGGTTGCAAAATCAAAAACAAAAGAAAAAAGAGCAAAATATTTGCAACTTCAAGATGAGTCGGTCTAACATTGAAATGATGAAAATAAGTTCAAATCTCGTATCAAACAAGAAAAAATTGGCTTTTGATCTTGATAACAATGATCCACTCAAAGTTGATAAAGAAACAAGGGATTTGATTTGCATTGGAAACGATTCCAAAAACAACTTGAAGGTACAATTTAGTGTGATGGAAGGGTGTGATTTTTATGAAATACAAACAGTACCTTCACTCGTGTCTCTCAAGCCTGGATATGCTTGCGAGTTTGAAATATTTATCAAGCCGTTGTGTACTTGTTCTACCAAGGAAGATGTGATGATTACTTCATTAAATCTTACAACAGGAATTATGGAAAACACAAAAATACACATAGAATTAGAGACTGAACAAACAACTAAATTGAATTATAGAGAACTTGAAGAAGATGAGAAACTTGGTGAAGGTTCCTTTGGAATTGTCTATAAAGGAAAATACAGAGGAAATGTAGTTGCTATAAAAAAGATGAAACAGTTTGATAGCAATGAAAGCGGACTTGATGAATTTACAAAAGAAGTTTAGATGCTTGACAAATATCGAAGTGAATACATCATCCACTTTTATGGCGCAGTCTTTATTCCGAAAAAAGATATCTATGGTCACCGAATTGGCTTTATATGGATCACTCCAAGATTTGATAAAACACAAAAAAAGTGACGAAATTGATATGAAGTTAAAGTTGAAATTCTTACTTGATGGTGCAAAAGGTGTTTCATATTTACATGAAAATGGAATATTACACAGAGACATAAAACCGGACAATTTGCTTGTAATGTCTTTGGATATCACAGAAAAAGTGAATGCTAAATTAACTGATTTCGGAAGTAGTCGAAATGTAAATATGCTTCAAACTAACATGACATTTACAAAAGGAATTGGAACACCAGTATACATGGCTCCCGAGATTTTGAAACAACAGAAGTATAAAAAATCTGCTGACGTGTATTCTTTTGGAATCACTATATTTGAAGTCATTTCATGGAAGGAGCCCTATTTAAAAGATCAGTTTAAATATCCATGGAAAATCGCGGAATTTGTCATGGGTGGTAATCGTCTTAAAAAACTTGAGATGATGAGCAATGAACAATATGATATAATATCAGACTGTTGGTCTCCACAAATGGAAAAAAGAATTACAATCAACCAAGCGGTTCAAAGAATCGAAAATTTGTTGAATTGATATTTTTATAACTTAAGGGGGTTAAATTATTTTACAAATGAACATTAGTCTAATTTTATATTTACAAAAATAATATATAAATAAGCAATCATTAAAAACATATTTTAAAATTTAGTTGAAATTCATTTGTTATTAAATCAGATAACCATATCACATTCTTTTTTAATGTATGACATATGTTATTATAGTTGTTGTATATAAAAACGAGTAAGCATTTATTATATAATAAAAAATAAAGATAAAATATTATGTATTAATCTATAACTTGATAATTTACTATGTCTAAGTTAAATTCTAAATAATTTCATCAATATCAAAATATGCAATGTCTTATTAATTTGTTTATTTAATTGAAATCACTTTTATTTAAAACAAAAAAACAAAAATATGTTAAAACGGTTTTGAGTTATATTTAAAAATACAAAACTAAATATTAAATAAAAAATTCATGATATTGATTATTTCGAAAGGGTTAAAATTATTTTTTTAAATTTATTGGAAAAATATTTAAAACAAAAATACAAACAACAATTGAGATTTTTTTGGAACGAAAGCCAATAACACAAACTTCATAAAACCTTCCAAAAGCGGTACTTCTAAAGAGAGTGTTCTCTCAAGAGCTGGCGTTTTCAGACAAAAACTAAAAATAAAGTTTTTTTATCGAGTAGTAATTAAGGTTTGATTGGCTAAAAATGCCTGCTCTCATGAAAACTAAATTATCACACCCTCCCACTCTTGAGAGGTTTTATTGGAACGAGTCATTTATCGATTGATCGACAGGCACTTGAAAAACCGCTGAATATGGATGCAATCACGTTCGGTTGGTGAGTAAATCCAAAGCGATTTTTTCAGTTTGGCAGTGAAAGGATTTTCTGAACGAATGAGAAATCCAACATGAGGGGGTGTGGAATAAAGCCGTATTGGTCTTTGTTAAGAAACGTTTAAAATGGTGTATTAAAAAGTGTTCTAGCTTGTGTATTTACTGTGTTGCTTGAAAGGTAATCGATTTGACTGTTGAGTATATCTTTTAATAAACGATTAAAAAAATTAAAAAAGATTACAGATGCAAGAAAAAGTAGTTGTTAAGAGTATAAAAAAGTATTTTCATATATTTATTTTTAATAATTATAAATTGTTAACTGTTTAACAAGTAAATTTACGGGAAAGCCATATTGGTTTGGATTGAATTTTCAGAAAGTGGTTGTCAAAAAAATAAAAATTTAATAATGTGTATTTTTATTAAAAAACAGAAAAAACACAAAAAGACTTTACTCATCTTCAAAAACAAAACTGACTGTACTTTGTCGTCATATAAATAAACTGATGTCGGGATGTGCAATTTATTATGAATAAGTTGAGGATGTGTAAATCAACAAGCAATAATTACGATTATAAAGTTTGAATAATTTTAAACGAAAACGAAAAAATTAATCATAAGGCATTCATTGATAAACAACGTGTAATATATCGTTATATTACGAATATGACATTTATTATGAAAACTGTTATTGTGTTTAATTTAACTAAACGTTTGTTTTGATTATTGTTTTCATTGTCTATATCTTTTACTGTTGTTGGGTTCACCAAAAAAAACACAAGTATATATCATTTAATAAGTCTTTTTCAAATAAGTAATTTTTATTATTGTTATAAGTTTAAAAGGTTAACATTATTATTATTTGTTTAATGCCTTATATAATATTATAAAACAAATTAGTTAATATTTATTATTTCATTTGATAATCGACTTACTCAATTCATTAAAAAATTTTTTGAAAAAAAAACATTTTTTTTGTTTTTAATAACATTATTTTCATGACAACCACTTATTCTTTGACAACCAATAAATTTATTATCTGTGTAAAAAAGTGAAAAAAGTGTGTAGAAAAAACTCTTGCTGCTCGGTGTTTTTGAAAATTTTATTAATGTAAAAAACGAAAAAATAATTAATAAACAGTTCATTTTATTTCACTTTATTTGATAAAAATTGAGTTGTTTTTTGGTTTATTATATTACAAGTTGAAAAACACTGATAATATTTATAAAATTGAACTATTATTTCATGTTTTAAAATTTTCGAAAAAATATTGAATATTTATTTTTATATAAAAATTAAATCAATTAAATTATTAAATAATTAAACAAAATTACGAAAAGAGACTTGTTTTAAGTTTTATTATTACATATATTCTAAAAATGTAAAGTGAATCCATGCAATTAAATTTTTTAATTATTAATTAAAAAAGGGATTTATTTTTTATTAAAACTTTAATAATTATTAATTCCCTTCAAACATTTAAAAACATATAAAAACTGAAAAAAGTTAACATTTTAAAAGTATTAATCTTAAAACTACATAATGAATCCGATATACAGTGTTCATTACTTGATATATTATTTTTTGTTGTTTAGTGTTGTTTATGGTCAAATATGTTCATTAACTACACAAGTAAAAACCGACACCGAAATAAGTACAAACTGTACATTAAGTACATTAACAGTTGGAGATGGTTCTGAAGTGACTCTATATCTCACAAATTCGGCCGTTTTGAATATTACAAATTCGATATTATTATATGATTTTAGTCAACTAAATATAGCATCTTCAAGTCAAGTGTTCGTTGGTACTTTACAATTAAAAGGAAATTCAGTTTGTTTAATGGAAGATACCACTATTTTTAAATGTTCCAAATACATATATTTATTTGGTACTTCACAGCTGTTGTTGAATAAAAAGGCTCTTTATGAGTCAACTGGTACAACTTACTTTCGAGAAAACTCAAAACTGTCTATGAGCAACAATTCCAATTTTATGAGCCAAGGAATTATATATTTTTATTCAAATTCTTCCTTTTTGATTGTTAACGATGCCAGACTCGTTTCTATGAAAACAGTCAATTTTATAGAGAATTCCACATTAGTCATGAAAGACAACACTTTTTTGATATTAATAGAAAACATTAATTTTAAAAACGACTCCAAAATAATTATTTGGGGAAGGGCTCAAATCACTTGTTCAAAAACAATTTTTCTTAATCAAAAATCGATACTTCAAGTGAATGAAAATGGTTCTATAACAACAGATACAATTAATAGCACAGATATGGCACAAATTGTTATTAAAAATAATGCACAAGTAACAACACAATCAAATATTACTTTAAATGGAAGAACATCGTTTTCTATTATAGACAATACCATGGTTGTCGTTATAAATATTTTAATTAAAGAAAATTCAGTTGTTAACATGAAAGACTCATCAAAATTGTATAGTTACAGCTCAATTGAAATAACATCGGGAACATTTTCAATAACAGACAACTCCTTCCTCAATGCAACAAAAATTGATATTTCAAATAATGGCAAACTTATAATTAATAAATCGAATACTATTGAAGAATTTCCTATTGTCTTGTGTTCTTTATTTGTGTGCTCTCAAGGAATTGTTAATATAACTTTAGATTCCATTATACATGTGGATACTTCAACAAATATGAATAACTGCAATTTCTTACTTACAAATCGAACGATAAGAGACTTCCCTCTTTTCTTTGTAAATACTTTTAATTTGGCTGATAACAATTATGTGACTAATAATTGGAATTTCGATTTGGTTTACTCAAAAACCCCAATTGTTGGCGCTTCACAAACCAATTTATTATTAGACGGCCATTTATATAGAAATGGAAATTCAAAGAAAATATTTTGTCACTTGAATCAATTCGATTCTAAGACGAATACAATGGGTTATACTGAACCATATTGCCCATGTGAAGATAAAGAGGATTGGTATATCACTCCATTCGCAAATATCACATTTTTAAAAATTACTGTTGACTCTACAAAAAACGATAAAAACAAGAATATTAAAAAAGTTGATGACGATTTTACTGATGAAAGTACCACAATTGGTAATACTCAAATTTCTTTTTATAAAACAGATAATGTTATTGTTCAAATTACTTCAAAATTATTGGTTGAAATAGAATCAAATTCACTCACCAAAAAAGTCCTATTTATCTCAGAATCAAAACTGGTTTATGGAAATGTTAAATACAACGCCGCACTGAACACTAAAAATGGAATAAAAATAATAAGTGGTGTTGAGTGTGGAAATGGATTATACAACAAATCGTCACAACAGTGCCATATTTTAAATGATTGTGATGTTTCGAATTGTAAATATTGCCCAAACGACAGAAGTGTTTGCGAAAAATGTCAATCAACTTACAAACTTATTGATGGGAATTGCATAAAAAATGAAAATTGTTTATTTTCGACATCCAATTGGTGTAAGAAGTGTTTGAATGGTTTTTACATGAAGAATGGAAATTGTGAAAAAGTGACCGACTGTAATGTAATCAAAATAGATGGGACTTGTCAAATATGTGAAAACAACAATAAGAAAATGTTGAATTTGAATGGAGAGTGTATTGAAAGTGATAAAACCAAAGTTGAGACGACGAGTAATACAAATATAATTACATGTAAAAATGGATATTTTTTAAGTATGAACACTTGCGAAAAATGTGTCGATTCTGCTTTGTGTGAAAATGGGAGAGTAATAAAATGTGACACAAACAATGAAATGAGTATCAACGGAAACTGTGAAATTCCTAATGACACAAATGGGAGGTGCAACAAAGAAATAATAAATTGTATAGTACTTACCAATGCAAAATGTGGAGAATGTGATAATAATTTTATTCTTTCACAAAACAAATGTGAAAATAGCCGTGATATTCACTGTGAAGTACAAAATAGTTTTGGATGTATAAAATGTCAAGATACTTATTATTATGACGAGTCAACGAAACTGTGTGAAAGTTGTGACCCAAGTTGTTTGACGTGTTTTGAAACGGCAACGAAATGTCTCAGTTGTCCACAAAACATGTATTTGTCAGATTACAAATGCAACACAAACAACGACTTGAAAATGACGTGTGACCAATTTGCAAGTTTTGGGAGTGGTTGTGTTGTGTGTAAAGATGGGTATTACCGAGTTGGGCTTGATTGTTTAAAATGTGATATAAAGTGTGGCACATGCCTTAATCTCAATAGTTGTCTTGCGTGTAATTCAACGAATTATAAAACAAATGATGGGGAATGCTTATTACAAAGTGATATTTTTGGGTGTGCTGTGAATGTCACACAAAGTGGGTGTTCAAAATGTCAAGATGGGTATTATATAGTCAACACAAATGAGTGTCGAAAATGTGATGACAATTGCAATACGTGCACATCAACAAGCACAAAATGCACATCATGTGGTATATTATTTGTCTTACTTACCAATGGAAGTTGTGTTAATTATTCAAAAATAATGAAATGCAAAGAAACGACACAATCAAAGTGCTCAAAGTGTTCATTCTGGTACGTTCCAAATGAAGATGGCATGTCATGTAAGTCACGGGCTGTTTGGTGGGTCATTCTTGTAGCAGTTTTGTTTGTTATAATTATGTTTGTTATACTGATTATATCAATTATTGTTGTTACAAAGATCATTCTTAACAAAATCCACACACACAAAATTGAAAAGACGACAACACTTTTTGATATGAACAAATCCAATATAAACTTTGTTCGTGTACAAGGAGATCTCTCCATTTCGTCGAATTTAATAGACTTGAATTCAGACATCGAGCAAATTGAAGTTAACAAAGAAACGAGGCAGGTTTTATGTGTAGGAAACACAAATAAAACCGCCACCAAAATACAATTTACATTATCTTCGAACGTCAACAAGTTTGCAATCCGTGTTGATCCAGAAGTTGTCACACTTAAAAGTGGCTTTGCATGTGAGTTTTCTGTATATGTCAATCCGTTGTGTTCTTGCAAAATTAACAGCACAATACAGTTGGTATCTAAAAACCTTAAAACCAATGAAGAGAAATACAACGAAATAAAAATTGTTGGTGTGACACAACAGACTACTCGAATCGATTACGATGAATTAACAGAAGATGAGAAACTTGGTGAAGGCTCGTTTGGTATTGTCTATAAAGGAAATTACAGAGGAAATGTAGTAGCTATAAAAAAGATGAAAACTGTTGTTGACAATGATGGTTCAATGGATGAATTTAATAAGGAAGTAAATATGTTGGATAAATTTCGAAGTGAATATATCATTCACTTTTATGGCGCAGTGTTTATAGCAAGCAAGATATGTATGGTCACCGAATTTGCACAATTTGGAAGTTTACAAAATTTAATGATACACAAAATAGGTGAAGAAGTTGATATGAAACTTCGAGTGAAGATAATGATAGATGCAGCTAAAGGTGTTTCATATCTACATGAAAATGGGATATTGCACAGAGACATTAAACCGGATAACATTTTAATATTCTCACTTGACCTAAACGAAAAGGTGAATGCAAAATTAACTGATTTTGGTTCATCAAGGAATATCAACTTGTTAATGACTAACATGACATTTACAAAAGGAATTGGAACACCAAAGTACATGGCACCTGAAGTGTTGAATCAAGAAAAATACAAGAAAGGTGCTGATATCTATTCATTAGCAGTAACGTTATATGAATGTGCTACATGGAAAGATATATATCCAAAAGATAGATTTAAGTTTGCTTGGAATATCGTAGATTTTGTCGTGAGTGGAAAACGCCTGAAAAAGCCACCTTACTTAAAAGACGACATATACAACATTGTTGATGATATGTGGTGTCAAGATGTTTATAAACGAATAGGAATAAGTGGTGTTGTGACAAAACTTGAATGTATTGACACATTTTAATTATTATAGGAATTTACGAGGATTATTGATTTTTCTGAGAATAGTAAATATTTTAGACATTTTTTTTATTTTCTAAAACTAAAAATGTATATTTTAAAACAAATGTTTTTATTTTAAAGTTTTTTGGGTTGTTTTTGTACTTATGACACTTTATTTTATGTTTTCAAATAAGTCCAACCACAATTGACCAATTTTCTTTGGCCCGCCAAAAAATTGGTAAGCTAATTGTGGCTGACACGTGTCGGCAGATGAAAATAGGACAAAGCATCGAAAATTACAAACTTTTTAATTGCGGCTTTTGTTTTTGATTAAAAATCGGGAAAATTACTCTAATAAGTATTTTTGGAAAATAAAAAATCCATTTGCACAAAACAATTATTATAATAAGATTATTATGATTGAAAATATGGGAAAATCACACTAAAAAATAAAAAACATGTCTTTCGTGAATAAAGTTGAAACATGATAACAAAAAATTTATCAAAATAAATAATATTTGTCATTGTTTTTATAAGGTATTTAAGAATTATTAACATCAAACATTCATAATTCCTATTATTTAACTACTCATTATTATTAATTATAAATTATTTAATTAACTATTAGAATTATAAAGTATTTCATTTTCATTTCATTTTTTTATACAACAAATTATAATTATTAAATTATATAAAGCTTTCAAAAATTTATTCAGACTTAACCCACCATACAAACAATTCAATTACACTTACTGATTGTTTGTATCTTTTGAATTATTTGAATCATAAGGAATAAGATTATGGGGTTTTTAATCTAATTATTTAAAGTAATTAATAAATGTAATAAATCAACTATTGATTGTTTTTAAAAGTGAAATCACTTATGATTTTCAAAACCACTAAAAGTTTGTATTTAAAATAATATTATTCAAATTAAAAATATAATAACTCAGTGTTTCAATAATTATTTGATTAAGTTTTATGAATTTTTTTTTTAAAATAAACCAATTGTTGTTACTTAATGGAAAAATATGATATAAAGAACATCATAATAAACAGTTGTAAAAACACATTTGCACAATACACATTAGCAATTACCTTTTAAGTTTTACTTGTATATTTTTTTGAAACATTCAACAAATTGTGAAAATTATACCAATGTCCAATTAAAATTGATAATGAAAGTAGAAAACACAAAGACCCACAAACAATACACGATAAATAATTTAATACTTTAAAAATTTGATTATAAATTATATCAGTTTGGGTGATGATAAAAAAATCGGAATGCACAAGATAAATGCTATTATAAAATATAATATATGCCCACAGATATATTAATTTAATACCCAAAAAACAGTTCAAAATAAACAAGTAAATCAATCAATAAAAATATATATACTTTTGGTTCAAATTTATTTGAATTGAATAATGTCATGCACAATATTTGGTCGTCTCAGTTTATAGATGTTTGCTTTTTGAACCAAGTTGTGGTTTTTCAAACAATATTCACATAAAAAATATACAACTTTTTTATAGAACAATCTGTTTTTAATATTATTTTTCAATTTTTAAATAATAATTGATTTTACATTTTTATATATAAATTTAATTCAAATAATATGTGATATTGAATAAATAAATAAATATATTTAATATTTAATATTCATTAATATTATCAATAAAATACACATTTAAATGATAAATTAACTATGAGTTAAATATTGTATATTTGATTATAAAAGCTAAAAATTTATTTTTATTTCAATTTTCTTGTTATTTTTAGTATAAAAATCTTTATACTAGCAGTCAAATGTGTCCAATTTATATATTAACATTAAACATAACATAAGGTTTTCTTACCAATTAATAGTTTATTTTGTATTCAATTTTACAAATTATTAAAATACCAAAAATAACATTTTTTAATAAATAATTGCTTAAAAATTAAAAATATAATGCAGTTTTGGGAATCAACCAAAAATCTAACAGGGAAATGGTCAATGTGGTCCAACTTAAATTTAAATTATCAGGAAATATCTCAAAAAATAAACACAACAAAACACGAATTTTTTTTATCATTTTGAAGTGACTTCATTTTTATCAATGTCCAAAATGCTTTTCATTTAATAAAATAAAAGAGAAACTACGCAGACATGTTCACACAAAAACTTTTGAATTCCGAAGAAACACTCTCTACGGTGAAATAATATGCTATTCTAAGTACTTTCATAATTTGTTATAATTGACTTTTTAGCACAACAAAACAAATGCAAGGTTGAGGTGTTGTTTTCCAAGCGGGTATTATTAACAACCAATTTTAATTTTTGTGATCATTCAAAAACAATTTTTTAACTTATTATCATCTAAAGCACTATCTTGATCTTTGAGTTCCAATTTTTTATCTTTTTCTTCTTTCTGGAATTTTTGACTTTATCTGCAATAGTATATTTTTGAGACAAAACACCAAAGAAATATTTCATAACAACAATATGAGACACCATTGAAAAACCCATTGCTCTTTATTGGCTAATAACAATAAATGAAAGATAAACATATTAACAACACTTATAAAAAATTTTAATAACAAAATTGTATTATTGAGTTTTAAAAAAAAACTTTATGAAAGATATATAAATTTTCAATCGGTGTAGGTTTTTTTAAAAGCGAAAAACAAAGTGAAAGTTTGTATTGTCTTAATTGTTATCAATATGAATAATGCACTTTTTGAGTCCACAAATTAACAATAATTACTTTCGTCTATGTTGATTAGGAGTGAATGTTTAATTTCATTTAAGTTACCAACTCTTTCAACATTATACTGTTTGTCGTTGTTCGACATATTAACAACTCTAATTAAATAACTTCCCAACTCGTTTTTAATCAGCTCAGCAATCTTATTTTGAATTTGTTACGTATTCTGTTTGATTAAACCCTTACTCCTAAAACTGTTTGCGATGGTTATTTGTAACAATTTTTTCTTTAAACTCCTTTTATAACATCTTTAGGTTCTTTGGTAGTGATTGGTTTGGTGGTGTTTTGTTTTTCTCCAAATGTTTTTTTTCAACAATGGCAATATTGTTCGATTAATTTTTGGATTTTTCCGGGCTTCCCTTTAACATCATCATACATTTTAAAGGCAAGCTGTCAAGTATAATACACCCAACACTTTGGTTTTCATTTCAATTGGAACTCTTTCAAGATATTTTTCACTTCCCAATATTTTTATTTGTTGTTGAAGTGTTTGACATTCCATGATTTCTGTTGTATGCGTTTCACAGAAATCCAATAAATCACGGGCACAACTTGATTATGTGTTGTTGCACAACACGCTTAATTTCAATAATACTGAAGCGATTTATCGTTGTGGTTTAAAAATGATAATTGAGTTCTATAACTTGCTTTATTTAATGTTTTTATGATCAGTAATGGTTTCTTTTATTAATAATTATAATTTGAAGGTTTTCAAAAAGTTGTTTTTATTACATTGAACAATTTAACATTTAATCACAATATATTTTTATACCAATTGGGTGGTTTCCCATATCTTTATGCAACAACTGATTCTTTATTTTTTATCTTTGTTTTATAAAAAATTTTCTCGTGATTATAAATTTGATACTTATGATTGTGATTAGTTTGCTGCTAATACAAACGTTTTATACATTTAAAAATAGTAAGTGAATTTGACAAAAAAAATAATTTTTTATTACATTTATTATTTTACTTAAAAATAAAAAGTAGTGGAAAACACTTTTATTTTTTGATAACTATATGAAAAAAATTCATGAGGATTGTTATTTTTTCTGAAGATGGTAAATATCTTTTACACAATTTCTTTTATTTTAAATTTTTTTGCCTAAGATCAAAAAGGTATATTTTGAAACACGCGATTTTTTTTAAAAACGCTATTTATCGATTTTTTGAAAAATGATTTTTTCAGTTGATTTTTACAAAAAATAATCTATTTCTATTTTCTGATTTACCACTAGACCAACCCTGGTCTATATGTAAACATTTGACAAAAATTTAAATTATCAAAAAAGTCGATTTTTAACCAAAATCACAAAACAAATTAATCAAACAATATTTAATTTTTTTTTCAAAAAAATACAATTTATTAAAAATCAATTCATGATATTTCAAACAATAAAAATTGATAGCAAATAACATATAAATAACGGATACTTTATGTGATGTCAATTTATGTATTTGCACAAATTCAAAACGCGAGGTTTTGGATATCGATAAAACAACGATTGATAAATGAACAAATTTGTGAAATTATTTTTTTATTTTTATGCCGTTTTATTTATTTTTCAAAACATATACACACAAAAAATATATGTTTATATTATTATTATTAATACAATATTAATTTTAATATATGTAAAGTCATTCTTTTAACCGTGCAACTTTGACGTGTCAGTGCAACTTTGTTTATAATATAATTATAATAAAATATATATGTTTTTTTAAAATAAAACGAGAGAACAAAAACATATTTCTGTAAAACTATTATTCCAATTAGAATACTATAACTAAACTATAACTAAATTTGCACAAATTTTCTCAATTAGTTTTTTGAATTGTACTATTCAACCGTCTTTTGTTCACTGTAATTTTGTAGCGAAAAGGTCTTTGAATCATATGAGGTAACTTGTCTCATTATTTTCATTTTATTCAAGTGATGTTTAAAATTTGCACCACCCACATTCAACAAACAAAACTGGCTTTATTCGTTCTGTATGACAATTGGAAATTCTGGATTTTAATGTTTTTCATTAGAACAAGCAGTTTAATTTATTGTTTAAATATCGAGTTATATTTTATGTTGATTTATAACCTCATTCCACTTCTTGTTATTGTTTTTGTTATATTTAGAAAATAGAGTTACCCCTTAGTTGTGAGTAAAAAACAAAAAAATAAAGGTGCACACTTGTTCCGAATGACTATATCTTTAATTTAATAATTAATTTTATATATTATTTGACGTTTTTGATATTAACAAAACTCATTTTA